GAGGTAAAGCAATAAAAAAAGCCGATGTTTTTTGTTGATGTAGGAACTCTTTTGCTTAAAATTACTTTATATCTGTGAAGTTTGGTTCCTTAAAATTGTAACATTCTGTATATCTCAAAACTTAGTATTCTTCGTAGTACAAAAAAATCATTTTCATTCGAGATTTTCTTTTGCTAGTACATATAAATATTAAAAATAATCCAATTTGGGTATATTATGTATGTTTAAAGTTTTAAATAAAGGATACTTAGGTGACAACAAGGTAGCTTTTACTGCCATCACATTTATATGTATTTATACGAAAATTTCCCAATTTTCCATTAATATATTATTTTTATCTAAAATGTACTCGGTATGAAAATTAAGTTTGGATAACTTTTTTGTGTACACTGGCCAATATAAACAGAGAATAAATTAGAATATATAAGCGAGGGTTTCCAACACAAGATTCTTAGAGCCGGAAATAATTTTTGAGTTTTTACATTACACTTTTTAAGGCATATTGCTTACAAGGTACAAATTGCCATTTACTGATGTTTATCGCCTTCATTTCCCTTAAAAAATATATCAGAGATGTGTTATTAAAAGCAGGTTTTCTACACAACAAAACGGTGTTGAAAAACAGGCTATTTTACACCCACCTAGAAATAACAGAATCATCCTTTGAGTAATAAGTTCAATAATAGACACGCTCATTCATTAGAGTCTAGAACAGAATTTGGCTCGGCATTACTAATACATTTATTTTTTTCTATAAATTGTTTAAGAAAGTATCTGGATAATCGGGCATTAACCACTTTTGGAGAATTTTACACTTTACTTTATATTGTAGTGTGAAGTAAATTTTCTATGTATATATTTGGCCGCCATTTTTCTAACGTGGATCCTATATCCGAACTTTTAATGTAATTATCATTTACTGGGTAGGTAAGGTTTCAGAGGGTAAAATTTAATTGTTATATATCACCAAAGTATGAAACCACAAGGTACAGGTCCAATTTTATTCGTGTTATATAAATGAGACGCGAATGTTTTAAGAAATGTAAATTATGTATAGTAGAGTTCACCAGCCATCAAATGTGATTTCTGTTTGCACTTTGAGGTTAAAAGTTTAAACTTATTTTAAATTATTTTGGGACTTCAAAATTCATTGGTCATCAAAATGTCGTCCTGTACCGGGTGGCTGTAGGGGGTGAAATGTAAAAATTACCTTTAAAATAATTTTACGTTATTTTAATCTACATAATATTGTTTACATTTTTGTTAAATAATATCATTTTTATCAACGTAAACATTAAAAAAATAATTAATTAAAGAATTCTGAAAGCACACATTTGCCAAATTTGCCGTTTTGATCAAGGAAACTTTTTGTTTAACACTTTTGTTTAACTACTTAACTATTAATATTACCAAAAAAATATTTATTCAATAGCCTTGTAAAATGGAATTTCAGTGTTCTAAACATTATGTTATTTTTTAATTACGATGATCCGTAATTAGTTGTCGATATTTTTATGAGCGCTTGCACGACATCTTTCAATTTCGTCTGTCGGCGTTTGCACCACATTGCGTTATACAACTAGTATAACTTATTTATTATTAATCATAAAATTATAAAACCGTTTTATTCAGTAAAGTAAACTTTTCTTAAGAGTACCTACATTTTCATTTGGGCTTTCGTTTCGGAGATAATACGTGGGAAACGCAAAAAATGTCTAAATTAAATAAAGCATTTTAAATCGAAATATTACCGTTTTAAAATTCGTTCTCTCGTAAGCCCCAATGTATAACATAATATACATAAATTATATAAAAATATTTGCTATACAAAACTTTTTTTTGAAAAATATATCAAAAAAATTGCAATTTCCCTTCTTTGCCACTGTGTGCTTAACTCGTTTTTTAACTTAGTGGCCTTTTGCTCAATACAATTTTTGACGGACTTAGGATTTTGAAACATCAGTACATAAGCATTCATTTTATATAAAATTCAGCTTGTAACAAAGAAACCTCCACAGAACATACTTTTGTGCTTATAATTTTTACCACTAAAAAAAAATTTCAGCACCAGGACCATGACATTTGAGTATATTTTTTTAACAAGTTTGACCCGTGTAATGCTAAAAAATCGAAATCCCTTCAAAAATACTAAATTACATGATTTATGAGCAAATAAAGTTCATCAAAACGGTTTTTGGGGAAAAACTCAATTTTTTCAAATGGAACCATATGTCTTATTAAAATGTGCGATAAATACAAACAAAATTACAGCTAAATTTAGAATAAGCCGGAACCGTCATGGCACACTTAAATGGAAAACTAAAAATTATATTAAAAAAAATACTGACGTTTGAAATGTCATTTATTTGGTATCGTTGGATTCAGAATATTATGCAGAATTCAACAATGCAATAATATATAAGGTGTTCCGTTTAAAAATCGAAAGCTAGTGTCACTTCCGGCGAAAGCGGAAGTGAAAAAAATCACTTGTATGTCAAAAAGTGCTGCTTATTATGTATATAAGATATGCCAAATTTCAATCAATTACACCGGCACACAAAAAATAAGTTGTTTGTACATTTGACGCCACCTACCGCCCGACATGTATTTCGACCCGCTGAATCCGAATTTGAAGTCAGTTTGGACCGTACACCCTCAAATATCGAGTAAATTGAAAAACCGTAAAAAATAGCGAAAATTGGGTGTTTCGGTAATAAAAAAAATTTTGTGGATCTAAACCAAGCCTAATTTTTATGTATTTCGATCCGCTGAATACGAATCTAAAGTATATTTAGACCATAAGCCGTTTTAAATCTAAGTAAATTGTAAAAAACCCTCGAAAATTACTAAAAATGACAAAAAATTGTGATTATGTTGATGAAAAAAATTTTGTAGGCCCGGATCGAAGAGGATTTTTATGAAATTTGATCTGCTGATTCCGAATCTGAAATATATTTGGCCCATTAATCCCTAAAAATCTCAAAAAATCGCAAAAAACCGATAAAATAGCAAAAAATTGCAGTAGAAAAAATTGAAAAAAATCTATGAAACACGATTAAATATGTTTCTTGTATTTTTTTATGCATAAAATACAACTTTAGAATCTGAAAATGTGAAAAATTGTAAAATCTATAAAAAATGACGTATAAACAGAATGAAAATTTTTTTCATCAACATAATCACAATTTTTTGCCATTTTTAGCAATTTTCGAGGGTTTTTTACAATTTACTTAGATTTAAAACGGCTTATGGTCTAAATATACTTTAGATTCGTATTCAGCGGATCGAAAACATAAAAATTAGGCTTGGTTTAGATCCACAAAATTTTTTTTATTACCGAAACACCCAATTTTCGCTATTTCTTACGGTTTTTCAATTTACTCTATATTTGAGGGTGTACGGTCCAAACTGACTTCAAATTCGGATTCAGCGGGTCGAAATACATGTCGGGAGGTAGGTGGCGTCAAATGTACAAACAACTTTTTTTGTGTGCCGGTGTTATCTTCAAAACTAAAGGAGAATAGGGGGTGTGCCATGATTCTGTTACACCCGGTATAATATAAACAAATTCACACGACATAAACTTGCATTTTTTATCAATGTTCCTGCAAACGGCACTGGAATAATTTGCCGATATCCGAACTCCAATAATAACAATGATAAAATGGTTATCTCTTTTTCAAAATACTGGATTCCCAAAGTTTTACCAGATACCTGACCTTAAAATGTTAGCGTTTTCACAACAATTTTCGTAGTTAAAAGTGGGACACCGTGTATATCAACAAAATAATAAAATAGTTCCCTAACATTTCGGAAACTAAATCTGTTTCATTTGTCTAAGTTCTTAGTTTTTATAAAATATGTGGAAAGTTGACTATTACGCGCAGAGGTTTATTCTCCCAATATCATACTGGATAACCTTTTTTAGATACATAGATTTATTCATGTGGTAGTAAGAAGGAAAAATAAAAATCAAGAGAATATCACAAATAACCATCAAACAATATTCCTACATATTTACATAATTTCGATGTTTCCTTTATTTCAAGTAGAGCATACATTCATTTAAAAAGTTTTACTGATTAAAACGTTCATTTCAACGACGCGTTCTGTTTGTATGAAAATTAGGATAAAACAATGAACCATAGTTTTAATTTAAACTACTTAAACAATAATTTTCAGACTTTTAAATCTCAGTCATGAAGCTCACTCAGTCGCACTAAGTGCTAAGTTTCGTAAAACAATTTGTGGAATTTTTGCTCCTACGTGAACATTAAGTAATTACCCAATTACTGCGCTGGAGGGCATTTCAATTATTTCTATCACTGTTTCGTGATTTTTAAAATAAAATTTAACTTTCTACATTTGATTCGGGATTTCTCATCAATAATTTATATATTTTGGTTCTATATGCTAATCGTGGATATTAAAAAATACTTTCGGCTAGATCAAATTGATATCTTATATGGAGAATTTTATGCTAATATCAAATTAATAACCTTTTACTATATCATTTGCCGAGCGTAGCATAAGGTAAACAATTTTCAGAAATTGAAATAATCAAGTTACCACATCCAATTTCGCGATCGCTCTCTATTCGTAGAATACCACTCTCATAGCACGTAAGGTTAACAAAAACATTACATAAATAAGTCAGATATGTTAGATTTAACGAAATAAAAAAGAAATCCTTATATCTTTGTTTAAAAATATCTTCTATACCCCAAAAATAGATATTTTATTAGCCTGGTGTACTTCTTTTTCAATTTTGTTTGCCCATTTTAAATTCCTTATATTATACAATATCCCAAAGTTTAAGATAATTATGTGTTTTCTTAACCACCTCTCAAGTCACCGAAATAACCCCCAGAAAATCATAGGATTTTGTGTTGAGTAAAGAAGGAGAGGCCCTACAGTTTATTGAGGAGTCCGATCTACATCTAGGGTGTTGATAATTCCCCTTCCCATCTTAATCTGAATGAAATTACAAGTAAAATTTCTAACTTGTCCCAGGATGGAATCGAACCATCAACCTTCGATTCCGAGTAAGTAGCTATAAGCGCTTTAACCACTCGGCTACCATGCCCTAATGTTTAACTTTAATAGTAGCAGCAATAGTAACTTCGCCGGAAATTAATGTAATGATGTATAATTATAATGTGCCATGCCATAAAGCGACTTGAATATTACATTACATTAAACAACACTAAAGACAAGCAATCAAGAAACCGAGGTGACCAACAAAAAAGCACCTGGCGCATTCTTTGATAGATACAACGTTTGTAACACCTCATTTGAGTGGAGAGGAAGAAATATGTGACGTAGAACCAATAATATGAAGGTGGGTCCAAAATCCCGTCATATATTACAGAATTTGAACTGATAAATCATCCAGCTAGTTTGGAAGCTTTTTTGGACAATGAATTTATAATTAGGGCGAAGTCGATAAGTCACCATTCTTACTAAGGGATAATATAACGCGGGGATGCCCTAGAAGAGCTTGCCAGGCACAAACAAGTAATATTAGTATGGGTCCCGGGACACACCGGGGTTCCAGGCAACAAAAAAGTCGATGAATTGGCTAGACTTGGAGCCGAAGAATATTGCCTTGGACCTGAGCTTATATTGGACATCACAAGAAGACAGGTCATGACGGCCCTCAATGAGTGGTCCCACAAGATATTATGGAAGCACTGGAGTTCTGACAGGTCAATGCAAACTTAGGAGTCATCTATCATAGGTGATGAGGAAGACTCTAAATGCCCAGAATGCGTTAGTGATGAAGAAACGTCTTAGCACTCCCTGGGACAGTGTGCAGTCTGATGCATAGCATCTTCGGTACTGAGCCGCTTCTAAGGGAGGAGATGAGCTCCCTCACACTGAGTGACATCCTGACCTTCATTAGAAGATCGGAAAGATTCGACGAGGGCGCAAGAGAAGTGCATGGCTGAGGGGACGGCTAGAGGTGTATAAAAAGGACTCGTCTGCAGCCCACTTGCCAGGCTTCATTTTCCCCCACCATTACCATTACCAAGGGATATGAAAACATATTCGGAAAAAGATATTACAACCAAACTTGGCACATTTATTGTAAAACAAAAAACAGTGAAAATTCCTACAATTATATTATGCACTTGTAGATTATAGACCCAAAGAGCATCTAAAATAAAATAAAAGAATAATACGCAAAAAAAATACACCTCAAATTTTAAAAAATATAAATAGTTCACTTACTACGTATATTTCCAGGTCACATTTTCGGAAAGGCCAAATTGAAGATATATACAAACGAGGTCTCGGGCATACTCTCCGGAAATCTTTATTTCAGTTAAAATTTGCCGTATTTCACAATAAACATTACTTACAAACTCTCCTTATGTGAGGTAAATCACCGATGAAGATGCCGCCCCAGCTACAATTAATTGGCGTAATGCGAAAAGAATACTTCTAAAGTTCAAGGGTAATTAAAAATATCCGCTATATACAAAAGATATTGTAATTTCAGAAGTTGACGTTAACATTTATAATAACAATACTGGTAGAGGTGAAATGGGGTAAAATTCGTTGGTGTAGTGATAATTTTTGAGGTAGTTACTGAAGGGTTACTAAGAAACTACAAATGTAGATAATGAAGTTAAGATTATAATTAAGAAATATTACAACTTAATTACATTATTTATAATTAAAGTATGAGCATATATACGTATATTATTTGTAACCATTTTAAATGTAATGATCAGTACTAATTACTACATATTTCTCATGAGCCACGCTAGAATTTCGATCCTTAACTGCTTGCAAAACTGTTGACTAGCTTTTTTACTCTCTTCTATTTGCATATTCTTTGTATAATTACTCCCAACGAGAACAATTTTGTATCTTTTTTTTCAATTTTTAATAAAACCGCCATATTATTACTGAGTCCTTTTATCTAAGAGACAATATTTTCTTTATCACAAGTAACATTTTTACCGAAAAAAAGTGTGTCCAACTTATTATGCAGTGACTGGCAATAAATTTACACTTTCAAATTGAAAACACTTATTATTTTCAGATACTGCATTCGACCCAATAGCAATTTGTTTGTAAAACATTTTTTGTTAAATATTCACAACCGTTTGATGGCCATTATTGTCTGGAACTTGTTTAAGTACTCTTTTGAATCAATCTAAACTATCTGGTTTACTGCAGAAAACTGTAACAAATTATCTCAAAAAATCTCTATGAAAGATCGAGTCATTTTGCTGGTCGGCTGAAAATGGTTTTTTCTAAAATATATTATGTTCTCACTAAATGAAATACATTACTATTTTCCGATTTTTCACAAATTTTATATTTATATATTCCAAACAATTAATTGTTTAACCAACAGTGGCAGTGGCTTCTTCAGATGTGACTATTATACTGACCCACAGAAAGTTACAGCATCCTGGGAATGCCCTAGGAGTGATGTTGGAATATATGCATCCTGCACGCAGATCAATAAAAATTTTCTCAGATGGCCAAGCAACTCTTAAAGCTCTTGGCTCATATCGGTGTAACTCTAAAACGGTATGGAACCGTCAGGTCATTTGGCAAAACCAAGGAAGTAGGATCACGAATCATCGGGCCCAAACCGATACTTGGCATATCCTCAAGTACTGCCAAGACTGAAAGGAAAACTCTCCAGTATTAGCAAGAATTACCAGCAATCGAAGGTGTTCATAAAATACCCTTTAAAATTAAGAACTAGGAAACTTTTAAACAGGGTAAACCTGAAATCCCTAACAGGCTTATATGCTGCACACTGCCAACTAAACTATCATCTGCATAAACTGCTGTCTATGTCTAAAGGATGATGAGAAGGCTGACCACGTCTTGGGCACCTGCCGCGCTGTGGAGAGGATCCGATTCTCAATATTTGGCAAAAGAGGATCTGGACACACTCGCACCCAATAAACTTATTAGTTTCATTAAGACACTAAACTTATTTGGTGAAATATAAGTAGGAGCGAGCCACAATAGGCCTGCTGATAGCAGCCGTGGAGGGCCCACAATGACATAACCTAACCCAACTATAATGACCATTAAAATATTATATGGGGTAAATTTGGGTCCATTAAAGTTATGTGTACGGATATTATTTTTAAAGCCTAATTACTATTTTTAACTATTCGTTCCTCGCAGATGCTAATAATAAAATAAACAGTAAGCTTACTTTTTTCTGGTCCTTGCGGCCAGTGAATATTGCATTTAAAACGAGTTTTAATTTTACTGAAACCGAAATTGAAAGTCTGAACATTTTCGAATGTTTAATTTGTAGACAAATAACTCGGTGAGTTTATACCGGCTATAGAAGTATATCAGATCGAATAACTGTTCTCCTTAAATATTCCTTTAAGAACTCGTGTCGTCCTTATAGTTTGGCGGAAACATTTGTTTTGGTTTTCTTACGAATGCGAAAAAAATTTTAAATTCAAATCTGCAACAAGTCTATCATAAATATTGTCTGAATGTTAGTTATAGATTTTAAACAAAGTTTGGCTGTATTTTGGAAGAATCACGTTCGTACAACTAGTCTTTAGCATGCCCTGTCTCGTAGGAAAAGGTTAGGGAAGTGCGGTACGTTACGGTATATCACTGTACTAATATTTTGTATACCAGTACTTTTGTACATATCTTTAATGTGCCGATATTTTTTGGACCGATATGTACATTTCACAACTAATACCGTACTGGATATTGTTTGTGTGCCGATACTGATTACTTTTGTACGGTTTTTTTGTGGACCAATATTTTTTGAAGCGGTACATTTCACAACTAATACCGTACCGGTACTCTGACCAATTCGACTTATGTTGTTGCTAAGCGTTATGTAGCAGATGTTAATTATTTTCCGATTAAAATGTGCCCGTACCGGCAGAGACAACCCGAGACGCGCAAGTACGTGCTAAAATTTAATCCGCAGTATTGAATTGGTCGATTGTAATGGAAGGTGAAAGTAGATGGCGCAAGAAGTAAACGCCCGCGAAAATTCAAAACCCCCCTTTTTATTATTTTATTGATATTATTTATAAGCTTTATTTCTGTAGCAGTTGGTGATCGTTTGTGGACCAGAATAGTCGATTAGTTGTTTTTAAATACTTCTATTCGCTGGAAGTTAAAAACTAACCAAGTGACTATCTCTGATGATCCACAAACGATGACCAACTGCTGCAAAAGCAAAGCTATTTTAAAGTTAGTTACAAAACTAGAGGTCAATTAATTATTATGTTAAACTAATCAAAAGGTTAATTGTAACCTTGCTGAACCGCTTAACATAAGATTTAAAAGAAATATGTTTTTGTATTGGATAATTAACATAACACTCAAAACACAAGTAGGTAGGTAATAATATTTTGTACAAAATTTATTAAAACCAGAAAAATACAAAAATGCAAATTTAGGACATTTTGTCAATATATTACAGAAAATATCAAGAAAGCATGATAGTTATTTATGCAACAAGACCGGAAGGTGATTCTTAACAGGGCGAGCTGGCAATTTCCATTGCAAAAGCCCTGGCGAGTCCAGTAAAGTCACTTTCTGGGTGTGTTGTGTACAATGTTTTTTCTGCAATGGTTCCTGCTAGTCTCAAAAAACTTTTTAACTTTAATAAAATATAAAATCAACTGACAGACATCAGACACTTACTTTCAAGGAAGACTGGAATAATCATTTTTAATTGTTATCGGATACTTTTTTGTCAACAGAAAATGACATAAGGAATCGGTAAAGACTTTACAAATCCTTATGTCACTTTGCCGGGCTAGACCTGTAAATATGTATTTTCCACTCAAAAAATTGTTCACAGTTAAATTTCTAGAAGGTTGCAGAAAAAGAATATTATTTAATGATTATAATTAAATTTAAAATATTTATTAGGCTTGACTTGCAGAGACTACCTTAAAATGTTATTAAGTGCAAGATAAAAAAATCATGTATTGTGTGGCACGCAACGTGGCTCTATAAAAATTAAGGTTCTAATTATGCTAAAGAATCTTCAGTTTTCTCTTTGTCTCACGAGCACCATTTTTTTATGATTCTTTTATTCATTTTGCCTCACGA